AATGGGGTAGTATTCCTCCCACTGATGCCAACAATGGGGTAGTATTCCTCCCACTGATGCCAACAATGGGGTAGTATTCCTCCCACTGATGCCAACAATGGGGTAGTATTCCTCCCACTGATGCCAACAATGGGGTAGTATTCCTCCCACTGATGCCAACAATGGGGTAGTATTCCTCCCACTGATGCCAACAATGGGGTAGTATTCCTCCCACTGATGCCAACTATGGGGTAGTATTCCTCCCACTGATGCCAACAATGGGGTAGTATTCCTCCCACTGATGCCAACAATGGGGTAGTATTCCTCCCACTGATGCCAACAATGGGGTAGTATTCCTCCCACTGATGCCAACAATGGGGTAGTATTCCTCCCACTGATGCCAACAATGGGGTAGTATTCCTCCCACTGATGCCAACAATGGGGTAGTATTCCTCCCACTGATGCCAACAATGGGGTAGTATTCCTCCCACTGATGCCAACAATGGGGTAGTATTCCTCCCACTGATGCCAACAATGGGGTAGTATTCCTCCCACTCATGCCAACAATGGGGTAGTATTCCTCCCACTGATGCCAACAATGGGGTAGTATTCCTCCCACTCATGCCAACAATGGGGTAGTATTCCTCCCACTGATGCCAACAATGGGGTAGTATTCCTCCCACTGATGCCAACAATGGGGTAGTATTCCTCCCACTGATGCCAACAATGGGGTAGTATTCCTCCCACTGATGCCAACAATGGGGTAGTATTCCTCCCACTGATGCCAACAATGGGGTAGTATTCCTCCCACTGATGCCAACAATGGGGTAGTATTCCTCCCACTGATGCCAACAATGGGGTAGTATTCCTCCCACTGATGCCAACAATGGGGTAGTATTCCTCCCACTGATGCCAACAATGGGGTAGTATTCCTCCCACTGATGCCAACAATGGGGTAGTATTCCTCCCACTGATGCCAACAATGGGGTAGTATTCCTCCCACTGATGCCAACAATGGGGTAGTATTCCTCCCACTGATGCCAACAATGGGGTAGTATTCCTCCCACTGATGCCAACAATGGGGTAGTATTCCTCCCACTGATGCCAACAATGGGGTAGTATTCCTCCCACTGATGCCAACAATGGGGTAGTATTCCTCCACTGATGCCAACAATGGGGTAGTATTCCTCCCACTCATGCCAACAATGGGGTAGTATTCCTCCCACTGATGCCAACAATGGGGTAGTATTCCTCCCACTGATGCCAACAATGGGGTAGTATTCCTCCCACTGATGCCAACAATGGGGTAGTATTCCTCCCACTGATGCCAACAATGGGGTAGTATTCCTCCCACTGATGCCAACAATGGGGTAGTATTCCTCCCACTGATGCCAACAATGGGGTAGTATTCCTCCCACTGATGCCAACAATGGGGTAGTATTCCTCCCACTGATGCCAACAATGGGGTAGTATTCCTCCCACTGATGCCAACAATGGGGTAGTATTCCTCCCACTGATGCCAACAATGGGGTAGTATTCCTCCCACTGATGCAAACAATGGGGTAGTATTCCTCCCACTGATGCCAACAATGGGGTAGTATTCCTCCCACTGATGCCAACAATGGGGCACTTTTCCTCCCACTGATGCCAACAATGGGGCACTTTTCCTCCCACTGATGCCAACAATGGGGCACTTTTCCTCCCACTGATGCCAACAATGGGGCACTTTTCCTCCCACTGATGCCAACAATGGGGCACTTTTCCTCCCACTGATGATACCTATTATGTGGCACTATTCCTCCCAATGATGGGGCACTATTCCTTCCACTGATGATACCAATGACGGGGCACTTTTCCTCTCACTGCTACCAATGACGGGGCACTATGCCTTCCACTGCTACCAATGACGGGGCACTATGCCTTCCACTGCTACCAATGACGGGGCACTATGCCTTCCACTGCTACCAATGACGGGGCACTATGCCTTCCACTGCTACCAATGACGGGGCACTATGCCTTCCACTGCTACCAATGACGGGGCACTATGCCTTCCACTGCTACCAATGACGGGGCACTATGCCTTCCACTGCTACCAATGACGGGGCACTATGCCTTCCACTGCTACCAATGACGGGGCACTATGCCTTCCACTGCTACCAATGACGGGGCACTATGCCTTCCACTGCTACCAATGACGGGGCACTATGCCTTCCACTGCTACCAATGACGGGGCACTATGCCTTCCACTGCTACCAATGACGGGGCACTATGCCTTCCACTGCTACCAATGACGGGGCACTATGCCTTCCACTGCTACCAATGACGGGGCACTATGCCTTCCACTGCTACCAATGACGGGGCACTATGCCTTCCACTGCTACCAATGACGGGGCACTATGCCTTCCACTGCTACCAATGACGGGGCACTATGCCTTCCACTGCTACCAATGACGGGGGCACTATTCTTCCCACTGCTACCAATGACGGGGCACTATTCTTCCCACTGCTACCAATGACGGGGCACTATTCTTCCCACTGCTACCAATGACGGGGCACTATTCTTCCCACTGCTACCAATGACGGGGCACTATTCCTCCCACTGCTGCCAATGATGGGGCACTATTCTTCCCACTGCTGCCAATGATGGGGCACTATTCTTCCCACTGCCACCAATGATGGGGCAACATTACTCCCACTGCCACCTATGATGGGGCACCATTCTTCCCACTGCCACCAATGATGGGCCACCATTCTTCCCACTGCCACCAATGATGGGCCACCATTCCTCCCACTGCCGCCAATGATGGGCCACCATTCCTCCCACTGCTGCCAATGATGGGGCACTATTCTTCCCACTGCTGCCAATGATGGGGCACTATTCTTCCCACTGCTGCCAATGATGGGTACTATGCCTTCCACCACTGCCGCCAATGATGGGGCACTATTACTCCCACTGCTACCAATGATGGGGCACTATGACTTCCACTGCCACCAATGATGGGGCACTATTCTTCCCACTGCTACCAATGATGGGGCACTATTACTCCCACTGCTACCAATGATGGGGCAGTATAGCTTCCACTGCTACCAATGATGTCATTGTTTACTCCTACTGATGCCAGGGAATTTTCTACTCCTACTGGCCACAGTCTGGCCTCCCTAAAGCTTGAAGGGCATTAAACTTTCTCTTTGTTTCAAACGTTTGGAGACCCCTGCTTTAGAGGTTGCCAGGGGATCATTGATCTGTAGTTGATTGACCACTCATCTAATGGTGCCTCAATAGTTCTAGGACCAACGCCACTTGGCGCAGAGCCAGCAGCATGACACCAAAAAGGGAATTCTTCTTACTGACCATTAATATAAGAAGCTTTTTGCCATTGACCCCATATGACTTGGTTTTAGTAAGAGTTCCCCAAAACTGAGGTATATTTTAGGAGGTTCTCTAATGTAAAATAGATGAGAGGCTGATTTAGACATATAACCAGACAGGCTATAGTGAGAAGATTATCGTAATCTAAAAGCCCTGCAACTGAATTGGTGTGTAACATAGTAAGGCCTAGTTTACACTTTTGGTTGGGGCAAGGGTAGTAAATACAGGTGGTTGAGCTGCATTTTTACCACCTTCCTCACTAAGCTGCAAAGGCAGCTAGCTGTACAGGGTATACACATATGCTTCTTTCAGAAATGATCACGGCACTGCCTACTAAATGTGACCCATTTGTGCAATGCATACAGTTGCAAATAGTGGTGCAGGCTTTTAGGGTTTAAAACAGGTAGTGATGAGGCAGCATAATGCCTCCTCGCTGCTTGTCAAACTCCTTCTGAAAGTGATCCATCACAGATCACTCTTCAGATGGATAGTGCATGCGTATACAAGCCCAGAAATAGGAGAATTACACCTCATTTCAGGATATCAGGAAAATCATTTCTTAGACCATGACAGCCTAATGCACATTAAAAACCACTAGTATTTAGTGCAAATCCTAATACTACATAGCCGTTTATTCCATTCTGCATACAGCTGTTGCAGTCTTTTTGGACATCATCAGCACATTGTATGGAATCTTCTGTAGAGTAGGTCCCAACAAGCCAGTATAACTGTACAGGTTGTGCGAGAAAAGACTGAAGTTTTCTGAAAGCTCTTTGAATCAGTGCATAGCTCAGTAAAGCCTTCTTAGAACAGAGGTATTTGCATGCCTCATTCCGTCACATTTCCCAAAAATAAGAGGATTATTTCTCATTTCAGGTCAGTGGGTGGAGCCATGCAAATCATTACTTTATGCTCCATCAGTCAGATGCAGTTCATTTGATTTCGGAAAACTAGAACAAAGCAGAATCTATTACCTATCAGAGGTTTTACATTCCAAATATAACAAGCTTTTGGTTGCTGTAAGCAATGGCTCCACTTTTCTGTTCAGCGTCCTCCAGATTTAGTCAATCAGCCTGTGTACTGGTAAAAATTGAACTATTTGTGTTATGGGTGGAGTTGGGCAAACTTGGTAAAATACAGATGTTGTAAGCCCCCTAGTGGATTATCCATTGGAACCTAGAGAGAATGACCTCCAGAGATGATGTGGAAAGTACATCTCACAACAGGGAATTTGGTAGGGGAACATGTCCCTCTTGAGGGTCAAACACTGACTCTCAGGCCACCCAAAACCCAAAGCCTTAACACTCTTTAAAATTCTAGTGGCAGGATCCATAAACGAACTACGATGTTCAGATGTATTAACAGACAGCAGAGAAATGTCCAAGTTCCTTACTAGATATGGTTTTGCATAGTTTGAGAACACTCAAAACTGCATATAATCCTAGCATGAAAACTTTCCTCGACACCATCTATTTTGGCTAACATAAGCAGTTTACTTTCGCTTACTAACAACTTTGAAAATGTTTATCCCAACTGCAGATGTTGACTGTCTTCCGCTGCTGTCACCAGTTCATATATTTCACTTTCTTCTGGAATTTGCTTCTTCTTTACACATGGCTTTGTTGTCAGTGTGATTGTACTCTTTGGACAGGTACTTGATCTCAAAGGGTGCCAGTGTTGCCATTGCCAATAGTGAAGGTGAACTTCCTCTGGATGTGGCCCATGAGAGTGCCATGGAGAAGCTGCTGAAGAGCGAGGTTAAGAAGCAAGGTAAGTGTCTACCTTTCCAGATGGAGGTGTACAGACACCTATACTGTCAAAAGTAATGGTGCAAAATGGGAATGCTGGTAAGATCAGATTTTGTGATCTTTGTTAATGGCTTGCCACCCGGCCACAGTACCTATACTGCAGGTGGGTGGCACAGCCAGTCTATGTGACGTACCGGCCTAGTGCACCTTAAAAAATGTTTAATAAGAGATAAAAATAGGTATTGTACTCACAAACGACAGTAAAGTCAAAGGCACATCATGAAAGAACAGCTTTGTCAAAGCCACAATACGTTACAGTCCGCAATGGGGAGTGTAGACATCCAATAGGCTAACGCGTTTTGAGGACCTGCCTCTGAGACGGGTCCTCGCGGTTTGACAAAGCTGTTCTTTCAGATGATGTGCCTTTTGATTTTACTGTCGTTTGTGAGTACACTACCTATTTGTATCTCTTATTAAACATTTTTTAAGATAATGCACTAGGCCGCTGCGCCTTATGTTTGTTCTTTCTCCATTCAGTACATTTGGATTTCCCCTTTTTTTTTTGAGGGCAGCAAGGTGTGAATATTCCAGGACATTCATGATGTGGTCCTAGCCTACACTGAGTTCATCCCCAAGCACAGGAGCATTTGTGTTTGCTGGTTCTTTGTAGCCTAGGTGACGTACCCGTATGTTGCCGCCTGGTTTTCAGCGCCTGTGTGATTGGACACAGCACAAGTTTGTAAGTAGGTTTCAGCCAATGTTTTTATCTGAAACCTGCTGATCAGCTGTGTCCAATCACAGCACAGAGTTCTGTGTTTACAAACACAAAGAGCTCTGTGTATACAGAAGAGCGATCTGGCTGTTTCTTCTTCCTGAAAAGCAGAGAGAAAAAACAGCCATATCTGAGTAAAATCAGCATCCATTACACTTGTTAGGCACACAGTTAACCCCTTGATTGCTCCTAGATGTTAAGCCCTTCCCAGCCAGTGTCATTAATACAATGTACAGTGTTATATCTGATCACTGTAGTAGTGTTAGTAGTGGCATCACTATCAGTGTCCATCCCAGTCAGTGTGTGTTAGTGCCAGATTTCCCACCACGCTATCACATTCTTACTATAAGTCGCTGATCACCACCATTACCAACATAGTGTCTATAGCTCCGTAAATTGCAGTATATATACCATAGTTTGTAGAGGCTATAACTTTCACACAAATCAATTAATATACACTTATTGGAATATATGTATTTCTTTTTACCAAAGACATGCAGCAGAATACACTTTGACCTAAATTTATGAAGAAATTAGATTTTTTTTTTTTTTACATTTTTTGATTGGATATGTTTTATAAAAAAAAGTAGAAAATATATTTTTTTCTAAATGTTTTTGTTGATATAATAAAAATTTTAAAAACCCATGGGTGATCAAATACCACCAAAATAAAGCTCTATTTGTGTGAACAATATTATTAAAATTTTATGTGGGTACATTGTTGTATAACCAAGCAATTGCCAGTTAAAGTAGCACAGTACTGAATAGCAAAAAAAATGCCCTGATCTGATCATAAAGGGGGACAAAACCTTCTGGAGGTTAATTCCATGCATGGCCAGCGATGTTTTCCTAAATCATACACGAAACCTGCGTTGCAGTTCTGCACGATAGTTGTGCTCTACTGCTACATCACAATGCAAGTACATGAGTCAGCTGACTCACTGAAATCCATGCACTCCATGTGTGGTGGCTGTATGGTCTCAACAGTTGCTAAGCAGAGTAACTACCATTAGCCACAAAGAACTCCCCCTAGTGACCAATCCAAAAAAAACAATCTTTTAAAAGTAGACTGCACCCCCCCCCCCCCCCCCCCCCCCAAAGCTGAAAATCCCTGGTGCACACTGCTTTGCATGCTGATCTCTAATCATCTACAAGTCCTGGTAAATAACTTTTTTTTTTTTTAACTTGCATATTTCTTCTTCTTGGTATTTCCAGGCACTGGTGCACTGGTGATGTAGCTAGTGCCTCATTTGCCCCCTGGGAAGGCTACATCACTAGTGCATTCCTTGTAATCTCAAGGAGAAAAAAGGCCTCTTTACGGAGACCATGTGAGATCTCACCAGTGGCACTTGGCTGGTACCTGCTGCAAGCAGCTCCCCCCCCCCCTTCCCCTACTACTTATGTAAACCTGATCTCAATCCAGAAAAGTGCAGGGGAGCAAAGGCCCTCTTGGCCCTCTTCCTCCTCTTAGGTTCAGACATAGCAGTATGAGACTTTAAATCCCATTGCTGTCAAGCACAGCCAGTGAGGAGGGAGCAGGGGGCCAGGCTGAGCCCCACTCTCTGTGTCTTATGGACACACACAGCTGGCTCGGGAGCGAGCAGGCACGAGTGCCCCCATAGCAAACATCTTACAGTGAGGGCACTCGCCAGGGGGAGGAGTCAAGAGGGCTAAGGGAACCCCAGAAGAGGAGGCTCAGGGCTGCTCTGTGCAAAACCATAAAACCATTGCACGGAGCTGGTAAGTATATTTTTTTTCTCCTAAATAAACCTGAGCCTTTATAATCCCTTTAAATAGGAGGTCCAGGCTCCCCCCCCCAAGAAAAAAAAAAAATTGAAAGTCAGCAGCGACAAATCCTGACTTTTTTACTTTAAGGACACTTACCTGTCTAGGGGTTCAATGCCGTCTCCACCAAGGCTAGTTCTTCAATAGCTTCTGGGTTCCCAGCACTGGCATTGCAAGTGAGGGAAACCAGAAGTGAAGCTTTGCGGCTTCACAGCCGGTTTCCTACTGCGCCTTGAGATTGGTCCCACAGTCTTCTGGGCCGGAAGTGGGAGCGGGTACCTGCCCAAAACCAAGTACCCACTCCTCTGCCCAAAAAGTGGTGGAGGGGGGGGGAATCAGGCAAGCAGAGCTTTGCCTTTTGGGTGGAGCTCCGCTTTAATATGAGAACAGTAGAATATGAATATAAGAATAGTAGAAGGGCAAGGCTCTAAATACATGAAAATCACTTTAGAGTTAACATTGCAATATGCGCTCACTGGAATTACAGTATGCTTGCAGTTCGGCATGGAGGAGTGAGCCAGCCTGGATGTATATACAATCATTTATTTCAATAGAAATCAGTATACCTGACTTGCACACACTAGTTTCAGGATGCATCTGATTATAAGGGTTCAGCCAGCAACAAGGGGAGCAGGGTGGGTGGTTTGCATTCTGGAGTATGTCTGTTGAAACAAGCTGGGACCCGCTTTTAATGAAAGTGCTCCGTGGATCAGGAATTGTGTCCTCACACATGCACTCATAAATATTTTGAGAGCTTTCATTTTAATTGCAATAATCTCACATGGTAACATTATATTGTTCATTGCAAGTGCATGGATGCACATACTGTAATGTGGTCAGTCTGTATTTGATCATGTGACTGACATTTCATTTGTTTAGGTGTGGATCTAGACGCTGCAAAGAAGGAGGAACAGGAGCTGATGCTGAGAGATGCAAGGCGTTGGTTGAACAATGGAAAAATTGAAGATATCAGACACCCAACCACTGGAGCTACTCCTCTGCATGTAGCTGCTGCAAAGGGCTATGCTGAGGTCATTAGGTGAGACATTAATGAAAGGTGAAGTACTATGTACTGTATAAGAAGTCAGATAATGGAGACAAGAATGGAGATTTTCTTTTCAATTTGTAGGAGAAGATTAGAATTTATGGTAAATTCACATAATAGTTCGGTTTTGCATTTAGAGCATTGTATAGCGTTAGGTAAGGGCTGCTGTCAAAATGAACTGCATTGTGTGCTCTAAGGAATTTTTGAGCTGCATTGTGTGCAATGGGTAGTTTTTGACTACAGCACATAGAAGCAGGATTTTATTGAAGATCAGATTCATTCCCTCTAGCAGGCTGAAAATGCTGCAAAACATTGCTTCACTGCCAAATAACTGACTCTGGCTAGTAGTATTCTCTGGTTATATTTGAGAATAGGTATATTTGCATTAAATATTTACTACTGACTTTTATTTTTGCCTAGAGTTTTCTTTCAGAGAATATGCTGTGCTTGGAAATGAAGTGATAGCTTATATTACCAGTACATCCAGTTTCTCAGTATGACCAAGCCATCAGATGTGCTCCTGTTTTTTTTTGTTGTTTAGGTATTCCCAGTGTCTCATTCTTCATATCTGTTGTAGGCTGCTCCTCCAGTTGGGGTTTGATGTGGACTCCCGTGACTTTGACGGATGGACACCTCTTCACGGTGCGGCTCATTGGGGCCAAGAGGAATCTTGTCGGCTCTTGTCTGAGGCTCTCTGTGATATGGAGGCTGTCAACAAAGTGGTGAGGGGGTCAGCGGTCTCCTCACACTATACACTGACTGCTTTTGCTTCTTCGGCTCAGCCATGGCTGCTTCTGTACACTTCTATGCTGTATACATCCAATGTGCGTCAGGTCTAGGTGCCCTCCTGGCTGCATCTTCCATGTCTTCTTTGGTGCTTCTTTTTGCCTTCCATGCTTTTACCATTTTCCACCTACTTCTGCACTATTGTGAACCATCTTTGCCTTATCTCTCGCTTCCAAAAAGTATATCTAAACCCAGTAACAAAAATGTAATATATTACAGCTTACTGGTGCTTAGATGTGGTGGCTGCATTCATTTTTCCATATCAGGCTAATTATATTTTCTGCAAATACAGAAAAATACATGTTTATCTTGCCAGAAAAACAGTGCCTTTGTCACTTGCTGTGAATTGAATAGAAATCTCAAACAAGGTTAGCAGCCTTCTAATCTATTCTCTGTAAATTACAAACCCCCTGTCAGCCATGTAATAGAGATATAGAGAGGGCGACGTATTTAAAGTTCAAATAAGGTGAGCAGCCTAGGGTGACAACTCCGTGCATACTGTGGATTGAGTGAGCGTTGTCACCCAGGCACAGTAAATGTGTTAGTAGGAGGAGTATTAGGTGAATAGAGAGGAAAAATGAACCTAAAAAAGAAAATGAGTGCAGGTATTTTATCTAAAGGCAGGTAAGCTGCAATGTATTATAATTTTGTTTTTGGTTTTGAATACATTTTAATGCTCAGCCCTTCCTGAAACAGGTTTAATATTGTAAGGCAGGGCAGTGAAATAACAAACTTTTGTTAGTATTTGTCACCTGCTTGTCCTGCTATGTCTAAGCAGGTAGTTAAAATATCTGTTGAGCATTTTCTCTTTGCCATTAGAGTTTGTCTACAACTGTCTATAGTTATCTACAGCTGGCAATAAATATGTGTGTATATGTATGCCTGCACTTAATAAAACATAGATCAAAGTGCAAAGGCCAATAACAAGCATTAGCAATGCCCTTTCACTATCTTGCTTATACTAAACTACTAAAAGTAAAATGTGTTTACTATACAGCATTGCACTTCTTAATGCCTTGCTGAAGAAAATTCTATTATTAAGTTTCCTAGATCGCAAAACTATTTAGTGCCTATTTCAAGGGCACATATAAACATACAAGATAGGCAATTAATTCACCTTATGAATGTGTTTTATCTGCCTTGCTTTACAATCTTGGGACACGCTTTAAGCCAGCTTCAGTGTTCTGCAGGGCTGTTTTACAGACTGTTTACAGTCTTTGTTCAGACAACTCTTTCCACTTTTGTAGGGTCAGACACCTTTTGACGTTGCAGATGACGGTTTAGAGTCTGCGCTGGAGAAGCTGAAGGACAAACAGAGTGTGGTGAGCTGATGTTGGGGCTGTTCATGGGGTTTAGGTATACCTGTCAGTGGGGCCAACTTATGTGATTAGGTTTTCCGGTATTGACTTGCCTTTGAGGGACCTTGGTGCTAAAATTTGGTTTGCATACAAAGTAACACTTACAGAGAGAAAATATTTCAGCAGGGTGTCAGAACTGAAGATTATTTAAAGCGGAATTTCACCCAAAAGAAGAAGTTCTGCTTGTTTGCATTCTCCCCCCTCCTCGTTACCATTTGGCATTTTTGGGGGGTGGTGGAGGAGGTACCTGCTTTTGACAGGTACCATTTCCAATTTTGGTCGGTTTGCCTTGGGAATCCGAGTGGACGTTTGCCCACCCTTCCACCTTCTCCTTCTCCCACAGCCTTCTGGGACACATCAAAGGTCACAGAAGACTCGGGAACTATTCACAAAACCCAGTGGGAAAGCGGCTGTGAAGCTGCATGGCTCCACTACATAAAGAATCTGCTTTAGTGAAGACAGGCTGGATCCCTGGACAGCTAAGTGTCCTTATATTAAAAGTCAGCAGCTACAGGATTTGCAGCTGCTGACTTTTAATTTTTTGGGGGACAGATTGGAGTGCTTCTTTAATGATGTTGACATTGTGCCTAACTGTCATGCTTATCTAGTGGCTTCTTACTTTAGCCAGAACAAGTATGTAGATCAAGAGTTTGGAATTCACTCCCTGCAAAAATTCTACAGGCTAGACACTCAAAATTTTCTGAAGCAGCCAGGCAGATCGTATTTTTAGAAAGATGCCCAGCACAGCAGCCTGCATAATTCTCTGAATACAAGCTCCTTTTAAAGGACATTGGAGTTATTCTGTCTTAATGGACAATTTATAGAAAACACTAGGTTGCCCTCAGCTGCACTACACTATATCACATATCTTTGTACAACGGGGGATATTTTTCATTCAGTGCTTTTTATCATTTTAGTATTGGCTTTTTACTTCTTTGCATTATGTTCCAGTTACGTTTGGAGAAAATGAAGACTGCACCACAGATTATGACCCAGACAACTCCCCCAAACCAGAATGCAGCTAGTAGAACAAGAAGGTCTGTACTGGCCATACTATGTTAGAGTGATGAATGCAGAATGTGTTGGAATGGACAGTGTGGCATGGCAGCGTTGCTGTGGTTTACACGATGATTGTGTTGCATGAAAGTGATGGCCACACGTGAGTCATGCAGCGTGTCACGGTGGAGGTGGTGGATATCACAGTGATTTTTCACTGGTTTGTGTGCTCTGTCCTGCACTAGTTAGTGTCACATGGGAGATTGGTGCACAGCGAGGTTCGTTCACAGCGTGATCTTTGTGTGTGCTCACTTGTATGTGTTGGGTGACACATGGTGTGCTTCCCGGGGCACCATGCACTGACCCCTGCATGCTCCCTGCCTCCACCCCTTTCTCAAATAGGAGTTCTATTTCTCGTCTGAGCAGCCAGGAGAAGTTTGCGCTACGTGTACAGGACAAAGAGCCCCGAGCTCAGCCCCTTGCCACAACCATACCCGCCACCCAGCCAATTGCCTCCAGTTCTGATGAGTCTGGTTCTGATGCTGAATCAGGTGAGCCTTCTTTCTCTCATTGTCTGTAAAGTAAGAAGGGATTTTGTTACTCGTATTTTTTATTTAAATGAATTTAGGTGTTGATAAGGAATTGATTTATTTAGATATCTCAAAGTGCAGCAAAACAATAGTACAATAAAGAAATCCAAGCTTTGCACAAAATGCCATAAAAAAATATTCAAATTGCAATAAATAAATATATAACACCAAACGTAACCAAATAGGATTATTGATAAACACCAGTCCTTTGTTTATATCAAGTCCTCAATCCTCATATACTGTGTGCATCCACGAAGATATCAGTGCATATTTTCACATGCGTGCTTTTCATCTGTGCTCCAATAAAAATTATATGTGTGCTCCCTCACTGTGTACTGCCACCTCTCACTGCTGCCGCTTACTTCAATAATTGACCTACAAACAGGTAAGGTCAACATGTGCTTTCCCAGCAACCTGGGGAAATTCACTGCAGCAGTCCTCCAAAAGTGTCTGACAGGTCTGTAATCCACTATGTCACTCAGGATCCAGTCCAAAAAGAAAAAATACATAACCTCTCATGGTGAAGTATAAACCTACTCAGTAGCTTTGTTAGCCCAAAGAACAAAAACAGACTAACAAATAAAGTGCACTGAATCTCCAGTGCACAAGATAAAATTGCCTGTTTAAATTATCATCACATTGCCCCCTTAAGAAAAGACGAAATTGGAAATGATATATAAGAAACACGACCCTAGACTTCCGGGCATGATGATATCACATGGCTCTGCCCCAACGCGTTTCATCAGTGACTTGCGCATAGGAATAACCTGTTTTAGAGATGTCAAATATCCATCTGTCTTCACTTACAGCAGTAGGGTGCACCATGAGTTCTGAAGGACAGTTAAGTGTAGGTAAGGGGCAAAAACCATACACACAGGAAGGAGTAGCCACCCATACCTTTAGCGCTTTGAACCCAGGTACAATGAGCAGCCACGTAACTGCTGTAACATCTGTTAAAAAACCATTTAGAGACATTTTTTAAAATTTTTTAGATATATGTCAGTGTTGTGGAGGTTATAATAATAATCCTAGTCTGTGGACTTGATAATGGTTTACATAAGGTTTTGCCTTCCTTTTGTAAATCTTGTTTGTTGTATATGTTATGTTTTTAATATTGGTTTCTCTTTGCAGAAAAAGTAAAGGCTCAAGAAAGGATCAACAACTTGAACAATCAGTTGCGGAACCTTTCTGGAACAACCGCAAAGAAGGTGAGCAGGAAGAGCATGGTCAGCATGGGATCATATATTCTTTGTAGTCTTTTCTCCCTTGAAAGGGGCCAAGCAGATTGCCCTGATATTTTATGCAATAGCTTATATGTACACTGCTCTCTGTAGACCCCAGCTGTCCAGGAACAGGAGAAATCTGAGCCTTCATTGGGCTCATGGAGAGCCTCTCTAAAGAAGACGGGTAGTTCTGGCACGCTAAGTTCTGGCACCACCTCTGAAGAAGGCAGGAGGGCAGCATTGCCTAAATCTGCTTCCAGCTCCCAGATATCAGATAGAGTGTGTATTACAATGGACCATCTAAATGGAACGTTATTCCACTTCAGCTATTTATTTCCAGCTTTCACAAAACTTCTCTTCCCTCTTTTCGGTGGATTTGGGGCTCTTTTACTTGTTTTCTCCTTTAATTCCCATCTCTCTGCTCTTTATGACTTTGCTTCTAGGTTGCATACTGCCACTGACTGCAAAATATTTCTTGTAGGAAAAGACTGGGGCTGAACTTCGTTTAGCACGGGTGACTCCGAGTCAGAAACTGCTTGGTAACCAGGAAAATGTGAGGTGAGTGTGTGTAAAAAGGAACCTGTACAGAAAGAAATATCAACTGCCATTGCTCATTTTTTTCCTAGATGACTCTGGCTTTAGTACATACTGTACCAAAGCAAGCATGCATCAAAGGTCAGTGAGAGCTAAAATAATCCTGAATTCTGTGCTTGCTCTGAATCAGTAACTGAAAAAAGTCCAGATTTTAATGGTGTGGCATGACTAGTGTTTTGAGGAGAACTTAGCAATGGCAGTCTTTATTTTTCAGTCTGTAAAGGTTTCCTTTTGACATGGAGCTTACATTGGTGCTCAGGAAGTAAGAAAGCCTTCTCTCTGCTGTGAACAACCATCCTCCTACATTAGCATCCAGCTTATAAACATAACTCAAAGCCATGTTGCAGAATTTAGGCACCATTCACACCTTTGTGTTTTAGATGCAGTGAATTAAAAAGTCCTGCTTGGTGCATCTTTCAATGCACTTTCCCCGAAATTCCTGTTTTACATAATTAAATGCTGTAACGCATGTTAGGCCTTAGGCCACCTAAGTAGCAACACCTAAAGTCTTTCAGATTGCTTCCAGTGGATTCTAAGAAACCTACCCTAGCTCATCCAGATTTCTCACTGCCATTATGCCTTGACCCTTCATAGCTCTTTATTCCTCTTTTCGTTAAACTATACATAATCTTCAGTTTCGAGAAATAATGGTAACTGACAGAGTGTAGAAGATCTTTGTGAGGTTGATTTACTAAAACTGGAGAGTGGTTTCTATGCAGAGCTGCGCCCAATTTTGCAAACAACCTCCAGGTTTTTTTTTTTGTTACAGCTTAAATGAACAAACTGAAGTTAGAAGCTGATTGGCTACCATGCACAGCTGCCCAAAATTTAGCATCTCCTGTTTTAGTGAATCAACCCCAGTGTGTTATTGTAGGCAACCCTTATGTAGTTCAGTCATTTTTTTCAGTATATAGTGTATCAATCTGTCACATTGCTTGCAGATTATTATATTCATTCCTTTTGGGTTTCTTTTTTACAGAGACTCTCAATTTAGCCGTGGGTCATTCACCCGCCAGCGTAATGATGGAGATGAAGGACTCAACTCATTCCGTAGGCATAGAGATTTTCTGTCGTCAAGGCCTGAAACCACTCTTCCGAAAAGAGAACCATTATCAAGTAAACCAGATGCTCTTGTGACAAGTGCAAATGCTGTTAGGACCCAGGCAGACACCACACCAAATTCACTTGGAAGGTAACATCGTGTAATTGGCTTGATTTTCCTCAACGCTACTTTTTTCTAATAGTCAGTAATGACAAATATGATAATGTCTGGGCTTCAGCCCCTGCTTTAAAGAATTTTACATTATGTGACACACTTATATAAAAGTTAAACTAACTTGAGTAGCAACTAGACTTATAAAGGCTGTTTGCTAGTAGTTTTCCTTTTAACAAAAAAAAAACAAAAGTGTCAAGGTTGCAATTGCTGCAATTTCCCTCTGAAAATGCTAGTTACTTGGCCCTTGTGAGCATGTTTGTTCTAGGGTAGTGACTGAGAGAGTATGGAGGCCAGCCAGGTAACTAGCATTTTATGAAGGTCAGCAGTAGACCCTGCATTTGTCTCTGGACATATGTACTTTTTTATGGTGCTCCAGGGTCAGTAGGACAGTTTTCTTGGATTTCGTGCGGTCAGTCCACCATTGTAGGTTTCCCATTAAACCCAACAGAACTTACACCATCTGGAGACCCTGAAAACAGACTTCTGGATCTCATTTCAGGTTCCAGCTCACAAATTGTGTACTGTTGCTCCAGAGTCATTTGGCAGATGTGGAGCAGAGGACAATGCTAAGTGTACCTGGTGACGATCTAAATTTTGGAAGGACATTGTTTAGCAGTTGGTGAGAATATCTGTTTTAGTTTCTTTGTCCTCTTTCTTGTAGAAATGCAGAGACTGCAAAAACTGCTAGTACAAATCTAGAACCTATTACCAACTCTGAGACCAAAGAGAGGCGCAGGTAGGCAACTGACTGAGCATTTGCTGCATTTTCCACATTTCTGGTTACTTGGAATGTAACGATAACTCTGTGCACGTTGGCTTGCTAAGAGATTCACATGGAGTTTTGTGACTTCAGGTCTTACTTGACTCCAGTGAGGGACGAGGAAGCGGAGGCACAGCGAAAGGCGCGGTCTCGTCATGCACGACAGTCCCGCCGTTCCACTCAGGTGAGCAGTTTCACCGCCACAAGCACTTTTCATTCTTTGCTATTGCTATACAAACATTCTTTCCACAACTGATTAGTCAGTTTATATAGTTGCCAAGACTTTTGTTCTTGCCAGCTGCCCTGTCCTTAAACCTTTTCTTTCTTTCAGCTGCAATATTTCCTTAAATGATTACAGCTCTTCTCCTGAAACCAGCTTCCATTGTGTATTAAATAAAAATCTTCATTTTGTTACTATTGAGAGGTTAATGGGCTTAGTCACCGTTCATCTGTTTCAGTTTTGACAGACAACCCCTGACTCTTGATAAGGACGAGTAGTTCTGTCTGCTGCTCTAAAAAATGGTGACTAAGGAACAGCATGCACATTTTTTATGAGATAATTTAGGAAGATCTTCAGCTAAATACGGAACCCCTTTAAGATTTCTCGTGGTTGCTTTCTAAGACTTTACATTCTTCTACAGGGAGTGACTCTCACTGATCTAAAAGAGGCAGAAAAGGTCATCAAAGGTCAACAAGATAACAAGCCATCAGAATCCCAGCCAGAGAAGACCCAAGAGGACACTACTAAAGACAACCAACCACAAGCTAGGAGTAGTCGGACTGGTGAAGAAGGGGTGCGTGATTTGTTTGGGGGGGGGGGGGGCTGGGGCGGCAGGCGTGTCAGATTGTATTAGTGAAGAACCCATTTGCCAAAAGCAGCTTCCTATTCTTTTGCAACAAACTTATTTTTTGATTCAGGGACTGATGACACTAACCGTTCAAATTTGTTTAGAATCTGACACTTTATTGGTTCCTGTACTGTTTCTGTTGTGCAGACAGAGGTCAGCTGGAGGTCTCGGCTTGCAAATTTGCAGAAATCTGACCTTCTAGGACTGACTACACCAGACTCCGCTTCAACATCTTCTGGGTCCCACAGACGAGGTGTAGGCCAAAGCCTAGAAAGCAAAGGTTAGTGCTAAGGTCGTCTAATTGGCCTTTTGTTATGCAAAACTGATCGGTTTTGAGGTACCGGAATTCACTTGAATATCGCCCACAGAGATGCAGAAGTCCCACGAAGATGAGAAAGAAAGTGATGAGAGAGGTGGTAGAAACCAGGCTGGCGTGCGGGACCGAAGAAGACCAAGAGAGAAGAGGAGGCCTACTGGTGTCCCAGTGACCAATAGAGATGTAAGAATCTACAAATAAGGACACAATATTTTATATTAGGGCATGGCATGACACTGAAAGTTCTTTAAGAGAGCACTTGACTTTTTAGAGTGTGTTTTAAAGGGTAGGATTTCCATTTCCTAGATATAATGCATGCAGTTTTTGATATTTGAGAGCTTTTCTCTGTTGTGGAGGACATCTCTTCACTATCATCTGTAAATTTTCTTGATAAGCCACTTGATGGCTTTGATGATGCAGAGCTTCACAAATAGTAGCCAATGTGTTTAAAAAACGACCAGTGGAAATTAATTGGTTTTAACTTTTTCAGATGCTGTAATCCAAATTTTAGTTTCCCTGTCTCCGTAAGGCTCTATACATATGGTGCTGTTCAGCTGTTTGTCATACCTAGTTTGACTTCCCTGACACCAGATAGAGTATATCAAGCTGAATGGTCTGCAGAGCCTTTTGGATAGATGGGCCTGAGTATGCCTTGCCCCCATCAGGAGTCCTGCTCCCCTGGGGAGCCAGGGAAAGGTCTTTCTTCTTTGGGAGGGGAGCAAAAGACACACGCTAGTGCACTTTTTAGTGTGTGTTCACATGCAGTTTTTTTATTCACTTTGGTGTTTTCTTTTTGTATACTGTGGGCTGGGGCAAAAAGAAAAAAGATCAAGCTGAGTGAGAAGATATCTCCTAATGTTGTAATGTACCATGTCAAAGTGAATGTGGTCTGCAGCTCCTGGCTGCATTTCACATTGCAGTACTGTGCTAAACACAGCAGTGTGTATATCTATTTTAAAGTGGAACTCCAGCTAGAATGTTGTTAATTTGAGATTTTTTTTTTTTGTTCTATGTGCCCTTATTGCCAGTCTTGCATTTTTGAGATTTCCACTTCTACATTGAACTAGCTAGCACTTCAATGCAGTTATTTATTTTTTTATACAGAGCGATGGAGAGGATTCCGAAGAAGAAGACGACGAAGCAGAGGAGAGTTTGCGACCTCAGGTGCATTGACATTCTTGATTCTTGCAGTAGTAAATATGCAGATCTTAACTGGGCCAGTACTAGGTTGTGTTATAACATTGGTATTCTATCTGTTAATGCTTCATGGCTCTGGTGCATTTATATGGGTAAGTAAGTTGCTATTATTATATGCCTATTAACACAACTTTGTACAATATTGCTTACAAGCTGTGTAATTGAATTGTCTTTTTTTTTTTTCCCAGGTAGATGGACTTAGTTCTCGGTAAGTGCTATCTGTGTTTGTGTTTTGCTTATAAATACCTAATGCATGTTCCTTGTGTTACCATTCTGTGCCATAACTGGTATAATAGAGATTCAGTATCAAATTTTTATGAGAACACAACTATTTCCTGAAATTACTGAACGTATGGATGCTAGCTTTTAATACTAAAGCTTGCCATTGATACATGCTTTCTGATGTCTGTTCACATAGGTGTGTCCCAGGGGCTGGCATCTGTCCCCTACACTCACTACTGCTAGTGCATTTGGGAAGGAATGGGGTGTGTGTGGAAGGGGTTGGCATGTGTTGGACAGGACTTTGTCAATATTAATTTCCACTTCTGATACTCTGGGAGTGGTTACAAAGTGTCAACAAGGGATGTGCACATTCTGCATTTTTATCTTTCAGAAAGGACGCGGTTTCCAACGCACACACGGCAAGCCGCATAGAAGCAGCCATTGCGGCTGAACACCGGGACACTAAGGACTTCAAAAAAGTATGTTCTGAGCGAAAGTTATATAAATATTGCATGCAGTATAATAAGCTTTAGCTATCACCAACCATACTGACTTTTCAAGGAGAAACTAGGGAAGCATTGATTGGTGGCCTTATCTTTCCAAGCTGATGCTGTTAGATGCTTTCCATGAAAAATCAATATAGATCTTCCCTACACCAATCTACAATGTTATGTTGGACCTTGGCAGCTATTAACAAGGTGTCCTTTTTATTATATTATTATTACACAGGATTCATATAGCGCCAACAGTTTGCACAGCGCTTTACAATGTAAGGGAGACAGTACAATTACAATACATTTCAGTACAGAAGGAATATGAGGGCCCTGCTCGTGGAGCTTAGAATCTAAAGGAAGGGGGAGGTGATACAAAAGTTATAATTTCGGGGATGATCTGGTGGAGGTGATTCAAGTACAGTTCTTAGGTGGAGGTGGGGTAGACTTCCCTGAATAAGTGAGTTTTCAAATGTTGCCTAAAGGCAGACAGGGTGGGGGCTGACCGGACATACTGTGGTAGGAAGTTCCAGAGGATGGGAGAGGCTCTGGAGAAGTCCTGGAGGCGAGCGTAGGAGGAGGTGATGAGGGAGCTAGAGAGGAAGATATCTTGGGAGGAGCGGAGTGGGCGATATCTGCGGATGAGGTTGGTGATGTAGCTAGGGGCAGTGTTGTGGATGGCTTTGTAAGCTGTGGTTAGTATTTTGAATTTTATACGTTGGGTTAATGGAAGCCAGTGGAGGGATTGGCAGAGAGGGGCAGCAGTCACTGATCGGTTGGTAAGGTGTATGAGTCTAGCAGCAGCATTCATAATAGACTGAAGGGGAGGGATAACCTGTGTATTGGTAGACCAGTGAGGAGAGAGTTGCAGAAATCAAGGCGGATTAAAACCAAGGCGTGGATAAGTTGTTTTGTGGTGTCATTGGTCAGAAAGGGGCAGATTTTGGAAATGTTCCAGAGGTTGAGGCGGCAGGATTTAGCCAGTGATTGGATGTAGGGCCCAAAGGAGAGGTCAGAGTCTAGGATTATGCCTAGCACCCTGGCATGAGGGGAAGGACCAATGGTTGTGCTGTTGATCTTAAAGGTAAAGTCATGAGTGGGGGATCGGGGAGGAGGAAATATTACAAGCTCGGTTTTTTTCAGGTAGTGGTGTGTGACATCCATGCTGATAATTTTGCTTAGTAGATCTGTGATACGTGAGGAGATTAAGGGGGTGAGCTAGGAAGTGGAGAGATAGATCTGGGTGTCATCAGCATAGAGGTAGTTTCGGAAGCCATGGGAGGTTATCAGTTGGCCCAGGGAGGAGGTGTAGAGAGAGAAAAGGAGAGGCCCAAGGACAGAACCTTGCAGTACCCCAACAGAAAGAGGAGGAGCGGAGGAGGAGTTGTATGTGACACTGAAAGTACGCTGAGAAAGGTAAGAGGAGAACCAGGAGAGAGCAGAGTCACGGAGGCTAATGGAATGGAGTTTACTGAGGAGGAGTGCGTGGTAGACTGTGTCAAAGGCAGCGGAAAGGTCAAGCAGTATGAGTATGAAGTAATGGCCATTGGTTTTAGCAGTTAGTAGGTCGTTAGTGAGTTTTAGTAGGGCAGTTTCAGTGGACTGCTGTGGGCGGAATCCAGACTGTTGGGGATCAAGAAGGTTGTTGTCAGTGAGGTAGCAGTTCATACGTTTGTGAACAAGGTGCTCGAGAAGCTTGGAGGCAAACGGGAGCAGGGAGATGGGTCTTAAGTTATTCACACAGGTGGGGTCCAGCGAGGGTTTTTTGAGTATTGGGGGTCACCAATGCATGTTTGAGTGGGGAGGGAAAGGTGCCTGTGGAGAGTGAGAGTTTGAATATGTGGGTTAGAGAGTTTAGGATAGAGCAGGAAGGAGGCTGCAACAATCATAATGGGACAGGATCCAGGGGACAGGTGGTGAAGTGGGCCTTGGAAAGGAGTCCGGTAACTTCCTTGGTAGTAACAGGGTCGAAGGAGGAGAGTGTAGAGTTTGGTGTTGGGCCTGGCATTTTGGTTGCAGGAGGGAGCTTGACACTGGAGATCTCATCACGAATTGTGTCGATCTTGTTTTTGAAATGACTGGCAATCTCCGGTGCAGTAAGTAAGTTGGTGTGTGGAGGCAGTGGGAGGGTGGAGTAAAGAATTAAGGGTAGAAAAGAGTTGATGAGGATTGGATGAGAGGGTCTTGATGAGAGAGTGTTGTGGTAGTTTTGCTTAGCAGCATGGAGGCTGGAGTTGTATTTGAGAAGAGCGGATTTGTAGAGGGTAAAGTCTTTCAGGGATTTAGTTTTTTACTCCATGCTCGCTCAAGAGTGCAGCTGCGGATGATAGTTGTTGTAGGCAGATATGGCCAGGTCTGGGCAGGACAGGGGTGCAATTTTATCATAGAGGTGCTCAGTAGCAGAGTGAAGAAGGTCAGGGCTAAGGTGGTGGAGGTTTCTACAGGTAACGGTTTGCTAGTTGGAGGCATGGGAGGTAGGAGGCAGGGAGAGTGTGAAGCTGATAAAGTTGTGATCAGAGAGAGGAAAAGAGATGTTAGAGAGGTTACAGGGAGTGCATAGGTGGGAGAATACAAGGTCGAGGGTGTTGCCGTTGGAGTGGGTGGTGGATTGTGTCCATTGTGTTAGGTTAAAAGAGGAAGTTAGGTTGAGTAGTTGAGAAGTGGCTGAGGTGTGAACATTGACTGGGATGTTAAAGTCATCGAGGATGATGGCAGGCACCTCAGAGGAGAGAAAGTACGGTAGCCATGCCGAAAAGTCATCCAGAAAGCATGAAACTGGGCCCAGAGGCCGGTAGATGACTGCGATCCTCAGGCAAACAGGAGAAAAGAGACGACTATAGTACACTTCAAAAGAGCAGAGGGCCAGAGACGGAGGGGCAGGAAGAACCTGGACTGTGCTTTGTGGGGAAAGAAGAAGTCCGACTCTGCCCCCTTTTCGTCCACTGGGTCTGGGCGAGTGAGTCCAGAGGTGGCCACCATAGGAGAGTGCAGCTAAGGAGACAGAGTCGGAATCCTGGAGCCAGGTTTTGGTAATAGCAAGTAGGTTGAGGGAGTGGGAGAGGTCATTGATAGTAGAGGTCATTGATTGTTAGAGGCTGAGTGGGCATTCCAGAGGGCACATAGGAGGGAGGGGTTGGTGCATGGAAGAAGGGGAATTGAGATAAGAGAGTGAGGGTTGCAGGTGAGACCAGAGAGGGGAGGCTGCTGCTTCTGTGGGTTGGAATTTGATGGTGGAGGGCCAGGGTTTGGGGCGATGTCTCCGGAAGTTAGTAGTAATAGGAGGGTGAGGGAGGTGAGGTGGGAGCGCGATTTATATGAGGGCAAATGCCACAGTGATTTTGCAGTGGTGACATTATGTGGACCAAGATAGAGCAGGAGATAAGTGCAATGATATTGGGAGGGCAGGAGTGAGGGTGATATGTACAGGTTGTGGGGTGGGGAGGAGGGGTAAAGAAGAGAGAGTTTGAGGAGAGAGGGCATTATAGCAACAAAGAAAGTTAGCAAGAGCATGCTGGAGAGAGGAGAAATAACAAAGGAAGGCTGAGGGAAAGCGGTAAGAGAGGAAGGAGCACTTGCAGACTACTTGGGGTGAAGCTCTAATGTTTGTGCTTGCCTTAGTCAAAGTGCCGTGTTTAAAGTGCCGTGACACTTTACGCAAGGAATGCCAGCCTGTCTCCTCGCCAGCCGTCCCAAGGACTGTACTGAATTTATACTTGGATGGACTTGGGGAAGTTAGGCAATAGTTCAATTAAGAGCTAATAAATGACACATGGTGGAGGTGTTCTGCCCTTAACAAATTGCAAGTGGTGGGGGGATGCTTGTTGCATGTGGTAGGGGGATGCTTGTAGTGTTCCCAAAAGTACTGCGTTTCTTGGGCTCCCGAGTTTACCTGTTAGCAACTGTTTGTTAAAACAGGCCATAGAGGGAACAGAATTCGTCCGGTTCAGCAGAAACCAGACAAATTTTGATCCGTCTATGGGCAGGCTGGTTGTACTGAAGTCGATCCATCGAAGTAAAGAAAATTGCTTAATGTATGGCCTGCCTAAGGCAACAACTAACAGTTGGAGGTGCCTAGACTTCTCTGTGAAAAGCTGAAAGGAGGGTTGATTTGTGATAAATGTACTTTAAAGTGCAATTCCAGACCATTGGTTTAGGTAGCACTACAACTGTAATAAAGTCAGAAAGTCCACTGAACTTTACTTTTTCTAAATGTTTACCCTAAAAACTACCAGAATATGGCCAGGATATGGCAGACTCTTGTCACAAGTGTATGTGCTGTACAAACTTACTCTATAGCCCCAGTGGTTGTGGATATAGCTAAATGCTTACCATAAAACCACCAGAATATGGGCAGGATTTTGCAGACTCTACATAAATAGGAATTTATGTAGCTGGATTTGCAGAAGATGAGTGTACAGATGAATAATATGTTCCGGCTGCGTCCCCAGAGCCCTTTTAAATGCAACCCTTGTGACTGCAGTGTATCTTAAATGACATGCTACTCCTGTTATTTGAAAAGTTTCCCCAGATATAAGCCTCCTCACAGCTGCCTGGCCAGGCTTGCACATTGATTTCATTACAGTGTCATTTATTTGGATTGTTTTTGTGTTTCAGCTGTATGAAGATTTAATGAGAGACAATGGACGTCTTCGCTCACAGCTGCTAAACACCCAGAACCTGGTGAATGAAACAAAAGCAGAATTGGAAAGAGCCACGCAGGTAAGGGAATGGCAGTCCGTACTGGAAGCTCAATGCTGAATCAATACAAAGTCTGTCTGCATTGCATTTGGCCACATGAATATATTTAGGTCCAAGTGCAATGACTCCAGATAAGCTTATAGAAGAATATACTTTATTGTATAAAATTATCTTGTTGAATCATAAAATCATTTTGTAGTTATTATATTTATTGAATCATAATGTCGTCATTATTTTGCTTGTTGAATTGTAAAATCATTTTTTACACTAAGGTTTATAATCCCTAGCTTGGCATGGGCTCAGAAAGTCCTGTTGTGTCTGATGTGTCCCCCTCCCCACAGCAGCCCATAGCCATCTTTCACGCTACTAGGAGACAGGAAAGAAAGCCTTGCACAAGCTCTGATTAGGGTGACTTGCAGCTTACATGGAGGTTTCCTTTCCTTGCTCCCAGTGGCCGAACAGATCTGGGGACTCTTTCTCTGCCTGCTTGTGACAGAGCTGGGCCAAGCACCAGCTTCGTTGCATGAGACGTGAGGGAGTTGTATGCTTGTTCATATTTGAAAATACTTGGGATTTTCTTTTCTCCTAGGAGTTTTCCTCCAGTGTCTCTACATATGCCGCTAAAATGTCTAGACTGATGTCATTGGTGTATATAAAGGACTGGAAAGTTACCCCACCCCCCTGCCACAAACACAATTTCTGATTGTATGATCCAATTTGCTCTTAAAAAGAAAAAAAAGCTTAACTATGCAATTACCACACTTTTCTTTAATAGAAAAAAAAAACCATATTCATCCAATCAATGTTTCATACAATATCATTCCTACTAAAACAAACCCTCCCTGTATATTCAGCATCCTCTGATCCCAACATTGACTCTTCCTCCTCCAGTCCATTGTATTGCTCAATGCCAGTGTTCCACTTAAAATTTACATTTTGTTGGTGTGGAAACATGTACATGCTGCCCTGCCTTCCCGCAATTTAGCTTTTGGTGTCTGATCAGTCCTCAGGCCTGAGCACCTTCACACGGAGATCACAAGAATTGACTTTCAGGGAATGTTGATTTGTGCACAGATCTTTGCAGGAACTCAACTACAAATTACATTTTTTACATGGTCCAGTGCTAATTTATGAGATTGTTGAGTGTGTAGCATTGTTGGAGAATCTAAAGGAGCTTGCACAGACTCTAATGTATTTGGCCTCCCAACTACTTCAATACCGGGCACTTTCACACCCCTTCCTTTTTTTTTATCATTTTTTACACACAAATAGAGCATTCTTTTGGTTGTATTTAATAAATAATTGTTCATACATTTAGATCAAAATATATTCCACATTTCTTTGGTGAAAATAACTAAAATCAGTGTTTGTTATTTAGTCAGTAGTTAGAGTTCACAAACTATGGTATATATCTAAAAATTGATCAATCCTGATGTACTGACAGCTATATCGTGGGCTGGTACAATGATCTGGCATTGGCTGTGTCCACCAGTGACAGATCTCGCCCACAGCACAGCCTGGGATGACGTCATAGGTCGTCCACCCAGAACGATTAAAGTCCCGCTTGGACTATTGCAAAATGACAGCCGGGAAGGACTTCCTGGTGGGAAGTTGTTTAAGAGGAACTGAACTCTGGAAGCTGTGCCATAAAATAGGCAGGCAATTGGAAAAGAACTAGTCACTAATATTGCCTGCGGTCTCCCTGCAGCTAATCTTTCCCAACTACTGACTTACCATGTCTTGTTCTGCACTGTCTCTTGATGTCCTCTGTATTGGTAGAGGCAGAACTTTGCTTCCTCATGTTAGAGCCTTCAACAAGGAGGAGAGAGAGCAGCACAGTAGATCTCCTAAGACTAGTAGTAAGGTATATACTGCAGATGCTGTGCACACAGGGGTGCCTAGGCATACTTGCATACCAGGACGTGCACTGCTCTTTTTTTTAGGAGGAATTTCAGAAAAAGGATTTTTTTTTTCTTTTGACCGGGTACTCCTTAGTCACAATTATTATTTATAAATGCTTGCTATAACATTGCAATTTTCACTTTTTGAGTTCAGTTTCACTTAGACTTTTCCTTTTTCAATCAAATGTGATTTTTAAATTATGAACAATAACCTCCAGCACTATTATCATTCTTTCAGAGGCAGGAAAGGTGTGTTGACAGATCGTTTCTCATCGATACAGAGAAAAAAGTAAGACATTTTATACTTGGTGGCAGTTTTTATGGCACTTTTTATGTTTTATGTCTAAATCTATATCTAGTTCCATATTATTATTTCAGTTTCATGATTTTTATTTTTAATGTTTTAGGAAAAGATGATCCTGGAACGCAGAGTATCTGAACTACAAGAAGAGCTGAAGGTGAGATTTTTTTTTAATTATTTAGGAAACTGCTATGTTTTTAGGAACTAATTCAGATAAACTGTTTGGTTTGGGGGCATGTCAAAGGGAAGAGCAAGCCTAGGTCATGTGACTATGTTAAAGGATCTTTTTTTCTTTTAATTTAAAGCTGTCCCCATAGTGCAGTTGAAGCAGTTCAGGTTACCATTATATGCCAAACTAGCTCATGCTATATAGCTGTTCCTGCACCCAAAATAAAAATTGTTCAATTCTGTTTTGCAGGGAATCATTGCTTTGGCACTCCTCTTGCTTCTACAATGCAATTCATGCACTTTAGTTTTTCAATGCGGTGCTCTCATGGCGTTATGGGAGGCAGGGTTTCTAGTGTTTCAGTTTTTCAGCAAATCCGAATTGGAATACAGAATGTACTTGTGTTTTAGGGGTCCTGGACCATGCAAAACAGGATTGCTGGGGTAATATAGCTGTATGTACACAATTGTTTTACCCTGTTGAAGAGGGCCCAAATGGTGGAAACTGTGTGTAAATGTGGCAAGCAGAGAACTAGTCTTACCTACAAGTTTCCGGCATCTGATCTTTTCCCTTTTACCAACCTGCCATGTCTTAAGTCTGCCATACGTGGATCAAAATTCAGGCATTTCAGCAAGGACAATCCATGTATTGTCAGACTGATTGTACAGAAGTCAGCCTACTGATCGACTTCTGTACAACCAGTGTGTCGGGTTTTTCCCGACAGCTCCCTGTTGTCAGAATACAATGACTCAGTGGAAAGGATTTCCCCATCCACTTCGAGTGTGTGAATGGGGGAATTAAGTCATTTTTTTTCCCTTCACCTTGCTGTTTGAACAAAAAAAAATGAATTTTGCATTGCCTGCCATATTGTGCACTGTCTGAGTGGAGACAGCATATTGGTAGTGGAACTGGACTTTGCTTCCTCATGTCTGAGCCACCACCCTGACTACTGGTATTTTGATAACTAATGTGGAAACTTTCAAGAAGCAGCAGGAGAGTTACAGAAATTACAGATCCACAGAATGAATGAAACAAGCAAGGAGATCCTTGCACTGCAGCTTCCTCTCCAGCAAGGAGACTAGTGAGCAGCACAGAAGTGACTTCATCAAATCTCAAGGGTGTAGCAGCCATGGAAGCAATGCCATAAATTATCTCACACTGCAGGTATACAGCTATTAGTCTCAAGACAAGGAACCGCACTGCTGTTTTTCTGTAGCAGATCGAGACAAAAGATTATTTTTTTGAGCACTGTTTAGGAACAGTTAACATTTCTAAATATTTCCCAGAAGATAGCACTTCAGGCCCACTTTAAGCTTATGGTTCAGTTATTTAACTGTATCATAGTGACCTAGTTAGTCAGGAAAAAGCTACTTTTCCAATTAATTAAAACAATAAAGAAAGAAATCCTAAACCCCTCGTAAAAAATTATATGTTTGGGGAATAATATATTTTCTAATCTGTAAAGGGAGGTTATTTTTTAAGAATTTGCCTAGTGTACGTGCCAAATATGTAATATCTATACTGACCACCTCTTGAAAATGTGAGTTACCTGGCACTCATCCTCTTGGCTTTGCCGGCCCATGCGAGGTATCCTGAAAAGTAAAAATTCTGCATATGCTTGGAACAATAACTCAGAGACTATGGGCAGCATAGTGGCTTATAAAAGTGCTTCGAGTCCCCAAAGGCAAAAGCACTATAGAAAAATAGACGCTAAGGAAACCCTTGACAACCAAGCAGCTAGCATTTTCAGAAGGTCAGTTGTGGCAGTCCACATATTCACTTCTTCTGCAGAAGAACTGGTAAATTGCAAATGCAAGGCAATACTGTAAGTTTGTGCTGCCTGTTGGGTAGCAGTAATGCAACAATTATGTAAGATTAGAGTATAGTCTAATTATGAGTAATTTGCCAGTCTGTACATATTATTTATTACAGGTACTTATATAGCGCCGTCAATTTACACAGTGCTTTACACGTACAGTATATTGTACATTCACATCAGTACCTGCCTTCAAGGAGCTTACAACCTAAGGTCCCTAACTTTCATACATACACATACTAGGGCCAATTTAGACAGGAGCCAGTTAACCTACCAGCATGTCCTTGAAGTGTAGGAAGAACCGAAGTACCTGGAGGAAACCCACACAGGCACAGGGAGAACATGCAAACTCCAGGCAGGTAGTGCCATGGTTGGGATTCGAACCAATATGGTTGGTCATGGATGCCATTAATGTTTAAATGTAGCCTAATTTTTTTTCCCCCCTCACGTGTCTTTTTAGGCATATTTTATATTTATTTGTTGTGTCTGATCCCTCAAAGATTAAAGCCGAACTCCCAGGTCTGGCAATTTTGACATAGTTACATCGGTTCTACTTGAACCAACATAAGTATGTATGTGGCATACTTGTGGGACCCCAGCAAAAGCAGAGAATCACTGTAGTAGGCACTGGTTCGGTGTCAAGTGGATGCCCTGCTGTGTTTACTGAACACAGGTGCCATTCAAAGAACACTTTGCATTTTCTCATAAAATGCTAAAGTTTTATTTCACCACCCTGCCTCTCCACCTTGTCCAAGCAGAAAACACTTTACATTCATAGATGAAGTGTTCCTTGAATGACACCTGTGCCAAGCATGTGACCTATGTTCACAATGCACCAAGTTAATTCTGTCTCTTGATGTACACCTAAAACGTTTTTGGGTGTACAATCCCTTTAATGGTTATTAAGTTCACAAGGGAACTGTGCTTTGTACTTCATTTTATGTCCCTTTTATTCCAGGCTAATGATTGTGTTAATAATTTGCATGAAGCTTTCAGGAAAGAATGGTCTAAACACTATTCCTCCTCATTAACATGACATTCCTTCTCCCCAAAGGTTCTCGGAGACTTGAAGGCTGATAACCAACGCTTGAAAGATGAGAACGGAGCTCTAATTCGAGTCATCAGCAAGCTTTCAAAATAATACACTTGTAGGACTGGTCGCTGTTTCCTGCTCTCCTGGGTTTCACAGTACTGGGACAGACCAGGTGGCCAAACATAGATTACTACAGGTAGCCGGGATATCAAGGATATGCAAATGTCCCCCTCCCGTCTGTCACGTCACCACTTTTCCACACAGCCACCCCTGAGGACTGTCTGGAATTGCACATCAGAGCACACTTTACCTTCCAGGAACATTGTGGCTAACACACAGAACAGCCAATCTCATCTGGAAAGAAAGGCATTGTCTATCTGCAGTTAAAATAACATGGCTTCTTGGGCATGTTTTGCAACGTTCATAGCTGATCTATGCTGTAAACATTCTATTTCTAATGCCCATCTGCACAAATGCCATCATCTGCCATTGTACTGTGGTTGGAAGATGTAGAACAGCAAAGAAATAAGTCATGTGATCTCTTATCAGCTGTCACTTTTAGCGGGTTACGTGGTCTCATCGACTGCCGCTTAAGCCTAGAAAGGTGAAACTGGTCTCAAAACGAAACATGACATTTTTATAAATTGTTTATCTTACCAGACGTCTTATAGTGTCATCTACAGATCTTGGAGGGCATGTCGTTCCATACAACACTCATGGCTGGAGATTAAAAAGAACCGGCATTGAGAGTATATATTTTTTATGAGATTCCTTTGGACACAAAAAAAGGTCTGCAATGTCTTTGATTTGAAATATACCCACATTGTAAAGTGTTCTATAGAAACCTTCAAAGCCGTTGGAGAACCAGGCATTGTAGATTCCAGTTTCAAAAACAATTCAGTGCTTGCATATAAAGGCAATTGCAAAAAAAAAAAAAAAATGTTAGCCATTTTATCATTGATGACTACCCCTTGGATTGTGGAGTACTGTGGAATTGTGGAAGAAGGATGACTTTGGAGAGGCCAAAGGTGGAATACTTCAGAGTGATGGGGACCACCGATGTGAAGGGTTGGCTGCTGTATTATGTCTTGACCACTGTGTTCTTCCCCTTGTGTCACAGCGAGATAGGATGGAGCACAGAGTGGGGGGAGCACCTTTGACCAGCCAGATTCGGCATTGTGGAAAGAGCACAAATTTTGTATGACCTTGTTTTTCTTTTGGTTTGAATTTACCCCAATATTGTTTTTTTTTTTGTTTTTGTTTTTTTTTTTTCCTTTTGATGTCACGTTGTGGAGCAAAGCTGTCGGGTATGGGTAGGTAACACAGTATGTTCTGTTTCTTGAGCACAATTTGCAACACTAGACTATGATGTACCCCCCCCCCCTCCCCGTTTTTGTGAGGTTTTGTTGCTTATCAGGGAGAGAAAAGTTTATTTATTTTAATTAATATATATATTTTTAATAGGGCAGCAGTGATAACTTTCCTCTGGAATTGTAAATGTTAGATCCATCCCTGAAAGCATAGCAACACTGTTGGTTTAAGTTTTCATTTTATGAAGTTTTTTTTTTTTTTTGTTTAAAGTGTACCTGTTGTTAATATGTACAACACAGACAGCCATCTACTGGGCTAGACCATAGATGCATAGCAGAGAGACCTAAGGGGCAATCTGGTGCGCAGCACATTTACTTTCAGACATCTAATGCTACCTTGCTGCTCACACCATATGTTAGGGCACATGCACACTTCTTTTTATTCCTTTTTGGTCTTTTTATTAAGCTTTTTTTTTTTTTCTTAAAAATTAAATAGTATATAAAAAGGACATCTTGTTTTTCCATAAGAACCTTTGCTCCCTGGCTCAGTGATTATGTCTCACTTTTCTATTGGCCACTGAGGCAGCCAATTATAGTGATGGGCTTTTAGGAGTGTTGGGGGGGTGGGAGGGAGCAGGCAGGCTTAGACACAGCCCAAAAGTGCTGAAGTTTTTTTGAGTCTAAAATGGCCCAGCATTCAACGTAGAGGGGGCAATGAAAACTGCTGCAGCAATTGTATCTGCTAACAGCTTTGATTTGTTTTTTTTTGTTTTTGTTTTTTTTTTTTCAAAGCGATTTAGTCACGTTACAGCTGAAACCAGCCGTTTTAATTAGTAAATCAATAGAAAAGCTGTTGCCATTTTTTTAATTAAAAGTTTTATTTGGGTTTTTTCAAAATATTACATACTAAAACAGGTTTGTCAAACACCAAAGCAGTTGCCATTTTAATGTGTTTTTTTTTTATATATAAATTTTAACATACCTTTAGTTCTTTTTGTAGAGCAGTAACAAAATAAAAGTACTGAAAAGTGATTAAATCAGAATGAGCATGCAAGTATTGCTTAAAATGATTTAAAGTTTAAAATTGCAGGATTAAACATGCAATAAAACAGCAGATTTTTTTCACTTTCATTTTAACTTTCATACCCTTATCAGCCTAGCACACCTTCTCCTCCTTTGGTAATATTTTTACTTTACAGTATTTGTATTTTTACATCTCTGTAATTAGAAATAATTACAAATACAAAGATATGGAGAAGTCATACTGCTGGGTGAAGTAGTCTGTGACAAATGTAGGATGATGGGTATATACTGCATGGTGGGGTATGGCAATGCTTATGTAATTTTTTTTCTTAATGATCTATTTTATTTTAGCCCTCTATATGACTGTCTCTGAAGTATATGCATGACATGTGCAATTTAATCATATTGTATGCAACAAGCAAGACTAAAGGCTCCCTCATATGGCATATAAGTACTTCATAAGAAGCAGCTTGTTAAGCTTCACTGGTACTTTAAGCCTGGATTAACCACCTTGATACTGAATGTTTGCCAAGTGCACATAACTCAGGTTAGCACTGCACTTCACTTTGATGTGCCAAAACTTTACAGAACAGTGTTACAGTGCTGTGTGCTCCATTGACTTTAGAAGTACTAGTTAAACTTAGAAAAACCAAGGAGGTTACTGAAGCTCCGTAGAAAGACTTCTCCATCCATTAAAGACCAAGAGTTGCCCAGGGGAGCTGTACACCTTTTGAGTGCAGAGCAATCACCAGCAAAAAGAAGAAAATACATTTATCCATCCATTTTAGGGCTCATATACAAAGTCGATCAGGACCGTACACCACTCAGATCAGTGTGTTTTTGCGGCGGGTAAGGCCAGGCATCTCTGATCCGCCTCAGACTGTAAGCCTGTAGAGAGATTAATGCAGGTGTAATTTAATAGAGCTATTACCTGTAGTTGGGGACAAATGTGTACCCCTAGAAGTAGACAGTTCATGTCCAGGGGCGCTCATGTTTCTCTAACCCAGTGTTTCTCAACTCCAGTCCTCATGGACCCCCAACAGGTCATGTTTTCAGGATTTCCCTCAGATGAAACAGCTGTGGTAATTACTAAGGCAGTGAAACTGATCAAATCACCTGTGCAAAATAATGGAAATCCTGAAAACATGACCTGTTGGGGGTCCATGAGGACTGGAGTTGAGAAACACTGCTCTAACCACAGATGCTTTATATGCAATTACATGTGAACATCTTCAGACAGTGTCAGTGTGTCATTGATTTGTACAGGGTTCCTGTCAGTTACTGCTTGCATACCCCTGGCTGTACCTGCCATTGAAATACGCTGATTTGAATGCTGTATGGCCTTAATTAACATGAGCCCATAATTGGAAGTGAATGTGAGCTAATCTGTGTATTTTGGGGCATGTTGGAGCTTGACAGTATCATTATATGTTCAGAGGAGCCCTTATTGCAAGTCTTATATTTCCAATAGATAAGTCCAAACTTCAAAACTCCCAATGTGTTAACTTGTAGAATGGGGCCTGAGCTTAGGAGACTAGTTTAATTGTTTAAACCAGAGCAACATATGCTTTTGAAAGGTACACACTCCATTAACTTCACATTAAGGACCATTAGAAATGCAGCACAAGTTGCTATATTATAACATTTCTGGTCACTAGTAGAGGATTAATTTCCTGGAATTTTTCAGAATTTAACGTGTTCTGTTTGCCATGGTAAATATATTCCTAAACACATCAGCTGACTTCCTAGAAGGACATTCCAGATCACTAAACCTCAGCATCTCTCCAACTTGAAATGACTGACTGCATGTGTAATGCTCTGGAACTGTCATCGATTTGTTCAAGCTTTATTAACACTTAAGACACATACAAATACCTTTTGAAGGAGAACTGTCATGATAGAAACATGGAGACTGCTGTTACTGACTCTTCCTTTGGAAAATGGTACTTGCCTGGCTGCCAGGTTGATCCTTTCTTCAAATTTAGTAACTGACCTGAGTTGAGCATGAACATAAGGCAGACCTTTTAAAACAGAGGAACCCTTGAAGCCATTTTCAGGTCTCGAGGAACCCCTGCTAAATATCTGAGTCTCATGGTACATCAGAGTGTTGACTAAGCTGTAGATAAAAGAATGGGACATACCTAGTGTATTGACAATGGAAGCAAAAAACTTTTTAAACACTCGCCCTTTCCTCGCTCTATAACAAAATTCTTTTCCCTAATTGAAAATTCTATTGCCACCTTTATATTGGTTTTGGTGGAGAAATATCCCCTTATATTGGTGGTCTGTGGAATACTGCTTTCTTGCATTTGGCGATCATTATAGTGGTCCCATACATTGATGGCCATTGGGAGAATGACTCACTTATATTATTGTTCAGTGGAGAAGGATCCCCCTTTTTATAGGCAGATGATTGAAGTCCGTGGTTACTGAGAAACCAATATTGCCTTTTGCTCAAGGAACCCCTAGCAACCTCTAGAGCAGTGCTTCACAATTATTTTCTGTCATGCCCCCCCTAGGAAGAAGAAAACATTTTGCGCCCCCCCCGCGCGACTGTAAATAGTATCATTTGTCTATAAAATTGTTATAAGTAGGAATAGTGCCCCATCGTTGGTGTCAGTGGGAGGAATAATGCCCCATCATTAGTTTCAGTGGGAGGAATAGTGCCCCATCATTGGTATCAGTGGGAGGAATAGTGCCCCATCGTTGGTGTCAGTGGGAGGAATAATGCCCCATCATTAGTTTCAGTGGGAGGAATAGTGCCCCATCATTGGT